CGCTTGCCCCGCGCCAGCTCTCCGCGATCCTGGTGGGGAACAGGACTCTTTCTCTCTGCGCAAACCCCTGCCAGCCGCCTCCCTGTCACTCTCGAAGACATCATCTTCTCCCCACGCGGCTCCTTATCTCCCTCCCGTTAGAGGATCTCAAATGCGCGCCCCGATAAGGCCGGACGGACCCCACTTCCAGCCCCCCAACACCAGCTTCCACGCTCCCCCGAAGTAATTAAGATAAATGCAGCTGATAACTCGCGCCGCGTTCTCAAACGCGCCCCCCGGGCCCTATCTCAGATATAATTTTACCTGCACAGGTTTATCTGAGCACTCAGGTAACAGATAGTTTTCAAGCAAAGCGGCCGCCTTTGAAGCGAAAGGGAGGGGACGTTTGTGAACTCTGTGCCGGAATGCGCCAGGACCGCCGCCCCTCGCCGGGACCGCAGCGCCGAGACCCCGGCGTCTCCCCAGCACAGGCGCGAGGCCGGTGGCCTGCGAGGCATGCTGGGCAGAGGCAGGTGCGTGGGCCTCGGGCACGACCAAGGGCCTCCCTTCTTCCAGCCTCGCGGGCCCAGGCGACCGGGCTCCGGGGGCCCCTGCCCAGCAGAGCTGGCGCACAAGGCATCTGGCTTCGCCCGCCACGCCCGTCGGGGAGCGGCCAGCCTGCTGGGGAGGGTGGAAGGCCAGCAGTGCTGCGGGCTGAGTGAGGGACGGTGGCCAGCACAGCGCAGCTCTGGCGGGCTCCGTTGCCGTGGGCAGCTGGAGGCCGGAGGGAGTCGGCCGTCAGACTGGACCAGGCCGGCCCCGGGTAGGGCTGGCGCCACCCAGGCACCCGCATTCTGTGCCCCGCTCTGCTTTCCAGACACACGACGTCACCTGGGACGGGCCGTGCTCTTCTCTGAGCCTCAGTTTCCCCCTCTGCACCCAGGTCAGGCTGCGACACAGCAGCCCTCCCGGCCCCAGTCCCGCCCTGGGGCTCGTACTCGGTGCCTCCTGTTTGCTGTCCAGGCTGGGGACAGCTGGGGCCCAGGGGGCGCCGGGAGCCGGGCCCTGGGGTTGGGCATGGACAGGGCCCGGCCCCACCGTGTGCCCGCGGGTGACACTCCGGCCCCGCCTCCACCCTGGCCCGCCTCGACAGCCGGGAGCGCCGGACGCCTCGCACTCCCTGGCCGAGGGCAGGAGGCAGAGAGCCGGTCCCCGCCACGCGGGACAGCGCAGTGTGGCCCTGGGGACAGAAGGAACATCGGGGGAGGAGTCGCCCACTGGCTGCCACGGACAGGCCACGGACAGGCCACGGCGGGCAGGGGAGCCGGCGGCTCTGAGGGGGGCTCTGTCACGAGCTTCAACATCCCTGTGTCTGGGACGGGCGTGAAGACCCGTTCGATCCAACCCCTCGTTTCACAGTTGGGGAAACTGAGGCCAGGAGGCACGAGGTCGTATGTGGAGCCCCGATTGGACGGTGCAGCCCAGTGTGCATGGCTCCCAGCAAGGCTCGGGGACGGCCCCGGACGTACGGCCCCTCCAGAGCCACGGGAGCGTCTGTCACTTCAGGTAGAGTCAACACACATGCCGCTGGGTGGACACACACACATGAGCGTTCGCACCCGGGCGATCCAGGAGGGCTGCCTGGAAGAGCCGTGGCCCCCTTCAGAGCAACCATCAGCCAGGCACTTACTGGGTGCTGGTGCCCGGGAGGTGGCTTGGGTGTGTCGCCCCTGTGAGGTCAGGACTCAGATCGGTCCCAAGTGACGGGGAGGGAATGGCTCCGAGAGGCTCTGGGCTGGCCCTGCGTCCCGGAAACACCACGATTGGAACCCAGGCCCAGTGGCCCCAGCCCCTGCAGGAGTGCGGGCATCGGGAACACGGGGTAGAAGGTGGCGGGCAGCCCGAGCTGGGGAGCTGCTCGGGCGAGAGCCCCGAGGGGCCTGGGTGGCCAGGCCAGGGCCCGGGCAGGGGCGCCCGGCTCACAGAGTGGAAGTGCAGGGGAGAGGGTGGGCGCAGAGGCCAGGCGCGGGGTGGGGGGGTGCCGGGCGGCTCTGCCCGCCTCTGGAGCTGGCAGCCCCACCCCGAGGTGGCCAGAGCCAGCCCTCCCAGCTGCGGTCTTGAGTTACGGGGTACTCAGGCCGGCGGTTACTGTTTCTGCGAGAAAAGGAGCCGCTCGCGCCCCTCGGGGCTCCCCGGATCCAGGGATTGGATCTCCCGCATCAAAGGGGCCCCAGGCCGCTGAAACCCACACCGAGGGCGCGGTGGCACCGAGGGCGCGGTGGCACCGAGGGCCTGGCCGGGAGCCTGGGCGGGGCCGGGAGCGGAGGCCCCCCACGCCCGCCCGAGGCCTGAGGACTGAGCACAGGTCCTCGTGCCCCGGGCGGGGGGCAGCGTGTGCCCGGGGGAGGGGGGCCCGGGTGCTGCGGGCACAGCGCCCGCCGGCTGTCCTGGCAGGGGACGGAGGGGACGGCGAGTGCTGCCCTCGGGCACGGTCACAGAGGGCTCTGGACACGTCACGCCTCCTCTCTGGCTGCAGCCCGCGCCCCTGCAGCCGTCCGCGGACTGCGCCTCTTCCCAGTGACGGGGGTGGGGTGGGGGGGTGGGTGTGAATGGGGCCGCACCACCCGCCTGGCACAGCGATGGGCACAGGCGTGGAGACGGCCGGGAAGGGTCGGGGGTCCTCTGGCCTCTCCGGCCTCTGTCTTCCTCCTCCGTGACGCTGGGACCGACCTTAGGGCCTCTGGAATCCCAGAGGGTTAGGGCTAGGGTGGATTCCCAGAGGGTTAGGGTTAGGGTGGATTCCAGAGGGTCAGGGTTAGGGTTAGGGTGGCATCTCAGAGAGTTAGGGTTAGGGTGGATTCCAGAGGGTCAGGGTTAGGGTTAGGGTGGATTCTAGAGGGTTATGGTTAGGGTTAGGGTTAGGGTGGATTCCAGAGGGTTAGGGTTAGTGTTAAGGTTAGGGTTAGAGTTGCTTGTCTCAGTGTAACAAGTAGCAGTCTGAAACCACAAACTCTTGTTGCCGCATGGCATCTGAGGGTCAGGCGCTGGCTGGCTGTGTCCGAGCTCTATCCTGCGGTCGGCGGGGGCTGCGGTGGCATCTGACAGCTGGGCTGACACCGCTCCCCGCCCCCTAGGCTGCGGCAGGCTGGTGCCTGGCCACGTGGGGCCCCTCTGCAGGGCTGGGTGGCAGTCGGCGTGTCCCATGCCCTGGGTCCCAGAGGGGCTGCTATGCCTTGCATAGCCTGGTCTCACAAGCCCCACGCACTCACTGCCCCGACATTCACTGCAACATCCGGGGACCCCAGCGCAGCCTGCGCCCAGTGGAGGGAGCCGCCTTTGCTGGAAAGGACGGGGCCGGAGAACGTAGGGATGTATCTTTTTATTTTATTATTATTTTTTTGAGGCAGAGTCTCTCTCTGTTGCCCAGGCTAGAGTGAGTGCAGTGGTGTCAGCCTCGCTCACAGCAACCTCCAACTCCTGGGCTCAAGCGATCCTCCTGCCTCAGCCTCCCGAGTAGCTGGGACTACAGGCATGCAACACCATCCCCGGCTAATTTTTTCTATATATTTTTAGTTTTCCATTAATTTCTTTGTATTTATAGTAGAGACGGGGTCTCGCTCGTGCTCAGGCTGGTTTCGAACTCCTGACCAGGAGCAATCCTCCCGCCTCGGCCTCCCAGAGAGCTAGGGTTACAGGTGTGAGCCACCGCTCCCGGCCTGTATCTTTTTATTTTATTTTATTTTTTATTTATTTTTTTCAGCATATTTTGGGGTACAAATATTAAGCTTACGTATATTGCCCTAGCACCCCTCCCCTCTCGAGTCAGAGCTTCAAGCGTGTCCATCCCCCAGTTGGTGTGTGCGCACCACACGCATTATGTGTGTACGTACCCGTCCACTCCCCCCACCGCGGCTGGTATCTTAAAACCACGGCAGGTTCACCGGGCAGGCTGTCCACGTCGCAGGTGCTTTTGTGCTTGTACACGGCTGGCCCCTCGGGTCCACCTGTGCTCACCTGCGGGTGTTCTCGTAGAGTCCTTCGTAAGTGCCCGCGAGTACGAGAAGCAGTCCAGCGTCTGTCGGGGATCCGACACGTGAGCACCCGGCAGCGTGCTTGGCAGCCAGGTGTGGGGACAGGCAGGGACCCCTCCAGGGGAGGTTGTGGACCGAGCCCCAGGACAGGCTATTAAAGGAGACGTCAGGAGCAGCTTAGCAAGCGCGGTCGACTACTTTTCATTCAAGAAGAAGGGGCACGGGCCGGGCGCGGTGGCTCACGCCTGTCATCCAGGCACTCTGGAGGCCGAGCCGGGAGGACGTGAGCTCAGGAGTTCGAGCCAGCCTGGCAAGAGCGAGACCCATCTCTTACCTTTCCCAAAAAAAAAAATAGAAGAATATTTAGCAACTAAAATATATATTAGAACAAAATTAGACCGGGCATGGTGGCATGCTGTAGTCCCGTACTCGGGAGGCTGAGGCAGGAGGATCGCTTGAGCCCAGGAAGTTGGAGGTTGCTGTGAAGCCTAGGCTGACGCCACGGCACTCCTGAGCCGGGCAACAGAGTAACTCTGTGTCCAGAAAAAAAAAGAATGAGGGACACCAGGAATTCATTCGTCTGGTACTCAACAGTTTGCGACCATAAGAAGCATCCTTGCCCATGAGACCGGGCTCCCGTAGCGGGTTCGGGGAGAGGGTAAGGGCGGGTGAGAGGCCTGAGCCATCTCCCTGCTGACTTTTTAATCGGTTTGGTGTTTGGGGGCCCCATGAATGCATAATCTATGCATAAATAAAAACGTAGCATAAAGAAATGTACGATAACCGTGAAGCCCATGGCAAAGGGAGCCTTGCTCATCCCCCGACTTTTGGGTCCTGGGCGGTGAGCTGCCCTCTGTTCCCTCTCACCGACCGCCGGTGCTTCCGGTCCCGGGTCCCCGGAGGGCTGGAGCAGCCCCGGCCTCCCACTGCGCCTCGGGCTCCAGGCCCAAGCACCACTCGGATTCTGACTCGCTCTCTGTTCTCTCTGCAGCCGAGAAATCCTCCTTGATCAGGAAGTCGAGCCGCGACGCAGCTGAGGGGCCCCTGACTCCCCAGGTATGTGGCAGGGCAGCGGCGTGGAGAGGCCCGCCGCCCCTCGGCCCGAGCTGCCCCCGTCCCCCCGACACCCAGCTGAGGACAGTGGCTGGGGCTGCCAGGCCCCCCGACCGCCCTCCGGTCCCGGCCGACATGGCTGTGGGTATGCGGGACACAGTGCCTCTCAGGCTCCCCAAGCAGGCCGTGGCCTCAGCCCCCTTCCCCGTCAAACCGACCCTCCTCCCGGCCAGCCAGGACTCAGTGCAGCCTCACCTCCTCCAGGAAGGCTGCCTGGTGCCCCGGCTGGGCTGGGTCCCCACTCTGAGCTGGAGGTCCTGGCCTCGGTGGCGGGTCCGCCCATGGGATGGGGGCTTCTTGAGACACCCCAGCAGCTGCTGCCCCCACACCCAGCAGCCAGGCCCCGAGTGGAGGCCCCCTCCTGGGAGGACCCCCCCAATACTGGCTGGGAGCCCTGGGTGAGTCACTCAGGCCTCGACCCGTCACCCCTAAGTGGGGACGACGTCCAAGCCACCGGAGGACACAGGAAGCCACCCTGGGAAGCGCTGTTGCTGCCATCAGCACCATCGTTTAGTCACTCAACAAACGTTGCCCAGAGACCTTCACCCCTGGCGGTGGGGCCTGGAGGCGGGAGGTTTCCCTCCCTGCAGGCTGGTGGGAGGAGACGGGGAGGGGACTCAAGAGGATGTGGGACCCGGTCCCCCACCCAGCCAGTCTCTCCTTGGGCTGCGGTGGCAGAGCAGGGGGCCGCCCCCCGCCGGCAAGGGCCGGGAACGCAACCAACCCGGAAAACCCGCCCCAAATTGTGGGGGGGGGAGGCAGGTCCCCACAGCGGGGAGCACCAGGTAGAGCAGGTGAGGCTCAGTTTTGAGCCCACACATCGTAACCACAAGGACAAATGAGAGCGGAGGGAGCCGGCCCGGGGCTCCCCTGGACAGGCGGTCGGTCCCTGCCACGTCCCAGCCACGTGGCCCTGGCTTGTGGCCCAGGGAATGAGTCAGGGTGCTCCCGGCAGGGGGGTCGCGGTGACCGTGACCGTGACCGTGGCATGGGACTGGGCTCAGCGAGGGGGTAGCGTGTGGCCGAGACACAGGCCACGGCCACGGCCACCACGGCCCCCAGATCTCAGCACCGACCCAGGAGCTTGCTGGTCTCAGGCAGAGCTTTGCTCGCTGGTCAGAGACACGTTCGCCGTCTTGGAGGCTCAGGAGAGGAGCCGGCACCTTCCGGGGGCAGGCCCCCCCAGCGGGGTGGGGGTGGGGGTGTGGGAAGCCGTCCTGGGCCGGCGGCCGGGCAGGTGGCGGCTCTGTACCTGCCCTCAAGGCCCGAGAAGATGCCGGGGGAGCTTCTGGCTGGACGCAGGTGTGCCCAGCGTGAGTCCCCGTGTCCTGAGACTCTGGCTTCCGACTAGTGCCCCCGGGCAGGTGTAAGCACCCACCTGTGCCCTCCTGGGTCGGCCCTACAGGTCTGGAATCTGTGTGCCCAGTAGGCGACTTTCCGCCCCGAGGCCTGGCCAGCGCCCAGCGGCTGCTCCAAGGGTGCAGGCAGCCTTCCCCGACCAGACCCCAGGAAGCTCCCCTCCCCTCTCCCTTCTGCGGCCCAGGCTGGCAGGAACCTCCCTTCTTGCTTCTCCCAGGTGCTGTCTGAGCCTGGCACCCTCCTGCGCTCAGGGGCCTCCCCGACAGCTGCCCCAGCCGCGCCTGCTCGTGGCCTGGCCACGGGCTCCCTGGGAAGCCACAAAGGCCGGGGCCACCCGAGGCCCCTCTCACGTCTACCCTTTCCTCACAGGCCACGCTCAGGACCATGAGAGCAGGCTCCCCCCGGGCCCCCCGAGGGGCGAGGATGGCCGCCCAGCCCACGCCCCGTGGCCCCCCGCGGCCCCACGCATCCTCCTAGCGCCGGACGGAGGGGCCATGCCTGGAGAGCAGCCCCAGGGAGCACCACCCCCGGCCAGGACTGGGGCCCTGCAGCCGTGCCAGGTGGCCGGTGGCCTGGGCGGCCCCTGCCAGCCCCCCCACGAGGACCACGCCCCGGCCAGCAGGCCCGCCAAGGCCGCCAGGGAGACTGGCCGTGGGGCCCCGGCTGTGGAGCCCCCGGAAGCCCAGCTGCTGCCAACCAGGGAGGGGGTTCCCAAGGCCCCGCTCCTGAGGACCCAGGCCCTAGGTGGCGGCCCTGGGAAGGGGGGAGGCCTCCGGGGTCCCCCAGGGAGGAGCCGCTCACAGACTCACGTGCGGCTGGCAGCGGGGGCGGCCGGCAGCGCCCAGCAGCCCTACAGCCCGAGCATCGCCAGCTCGAGGGCCAAACCCGCCCTGGACGAGGCCCCCGAGGGCCACCAGCTCGAGGCCCCCCATCCTCCAGAGGCAGAGGCCCCCCGGCCTCCCCTCAGGCCCGGCCTCCCGAGAACCGAGGCCCGGCCTCCTCCTGAAGAGCTCAGCTTCCGAAGGTGCTTCCCGGAGACCCCCTCCAGCTTTACCTCCACCAACTATACCTCAGCGAACGCCGCGCCCGGGCCCCCCGCCCTGCGGGCCCCCCCGAGCAGGGGCGCCAGCCCCCTCGGGCCGGCCTCCCACCCGGAATTCCAGGCCAGCGGGTCGGACTCCTGGCCTCTCGCTGCTGAGAACAGCTTCCTAGGTGCTAATTTCGGGGTCCCCCCCACAGAGCCAGAGCCGTTCCCCGAAGGCAGCAGGCCGGGCGGCCCCGTGGGGGTCCCCTTCCAGTTCTCCTTCCCGGAGCTGCCCGGGCCGGGCACAAAACCCTTCCCCGCAGACACGGCCGGGCACGAGTTTGCCAACAGGGCCCTCGTGTTCGCCTTCCACCAGCCCCCAGGAGCGTGGCCAGAGGGGGCCGTGGGCACGGGCCCCGCCTACCCGCCCGCACCCCAGCCCCTGCCCTGCTACCCCGGCCAGCCGGGCACCCTCGAGCCCCCCAGCAACCTCAGCGGTGCCCTCCCGGCCCCGGGGGTGGCTCGCCCGGCCCCGGCCCCCTTCTCAGATGGTCTGCACAAGAGCCTGACCAAAGTCCTTCCCGAGAGGCCGCCTTCAGCCCAGGACGGGCTGGGGAGCCCGAGGGGGCCCCTGAACCCCCTACCCCAGAGACGTTTTCCGGGGCAGGCGTGTGGAGCCAGGGTGGACACCAGCCCGGGGCCTCTGGACACCGAGCTGGCCACCCCGGGGCCCCCAGTGGCCAGACTGCCCCCGCTGTGGGACCCTGTGACAGCACCTTACCCCACGCCTGCCCTGGGGCCCCCGGCCGCCACCAGGAACCCGTTCTTCAAAGGCCAGCCCGGCCCCGGCCAGCGGCTCTGCCTGCCCCAGAGCCCCCCACTGCCCTGGGCCCAGCTGCTCCCGACGGCCGGGCCGAGCCCCCACCAGATGGAGGTGCAGAGCCGGCTGCCTTTCCCCACGGCAGCCCCCGAGTGGCAGGGGGGCAGCCAGGGAGCCCTGGGCGCGGCCGGCCAGACGGCGGGGCCCGGGGCGAAGCTGGTGGCCGTGAGAAGTGGCGCAGGCCAGCTGGGCGGCTCCCCGGGGCTGTTCTCCTACAGCGGGGCGCAGGACGCGGGAGCCCAGCCCCTGTTCTTCGGGGTGCCGCAGCCCCAGCTCTCACCCCGGGGGACCCCCAGCCTGCCCCCACCCAGGGTGGTGGGGGCCTCCCCCAGCGAGTCGCCGCTGCCGTCGCCGGCCACCAACACGGCCGGCAGCACCTGCTCCTCCCTATCACCCCTGTCCAGCAGCCCGGCCAACCCCAGCTCGGAGGAGAGCCAGCTCCCGGCCCCGCTGGGGCCCCCCGCCTTCTTCCACCAGTCCCCGGAGCAGCCCCCGCACGCCCACCCCCGACACTTCCCCCCGGCAGAGCCGCCAGCCAAGGCCTTCCCGTTCCCTGCCGACGGGCTGGGGGCCGAGGGCGCCCCGTTCCCCCACGAGCCGCCCCCGTACCCGGCCCAGCACTTTGCGCTCAGCAGCGCCAGCCTGGACCAGCTGGACGTGCTGCTCACCTGCCGGCAGTGCGACCGCAACTACAGCAGCCTGGCTGCCTTCCTGGCACACCGGCAGTTCTGCGGCCTGCTGCTGGCCAGGGCCAAGGACGGTTCCCCGCAGCCCCAGGGCCCCCCGGGGCTCCCCTTGCCCTGCGCCGCCGCCGCCCCCAAGGCAGCTGCCGACACTCTGGCGGGCGGGCTGGGCCACGGCAAGGCCGTCCCCTTCCTGCTGGCCGGGGACGTCCAGGCGGACGGCAAAGACGAGGCCCTGAGGATGAGCTTCCTGCCCGGCCTGGCCGCCGCTGCCGCCGCCGCCGCCTTCCCGCTGCCCCCCGTGGAGCTGGACTTGGAGGACGACGCCAAGCTGGACAGCCTCATCACCGAGGCGCTCAACGGCATGGAGTACCAGCCGGACAGCCCGGAGATCGACAGCAGCTTCATAGACGTCTTCACCGACGAGGAGCCTCCCGGCCCCAGAGGCCCCGGCACAGGGCAGCCCCCCAAGGCCAGGCCGGGGCCGGCCCCGGAGAGCAGAGCCCAGCCCCCGCTCGCCGACCCCACGGCGGAGCTGCAAGACCCCCGCGCCGCAGATGGGGGCTGCCCGGCCCGGAGCAGGCCCAAAACCCGCTCTCTGGGTGTCCCCCCTGCTGAGGCCGAGGCCGGCAGCCTGGTGCGGCCGCAGAGGAGGGGGAAGCAGCTGAAGCTGTTCCGGAAAGAGCCGGACGTGGCCAGCACCGCCGAGGGGCCCGGGGGAGGCGCCAGGGCCTCCTCCTGCCTGCGGCCCCGGAGGAAGAAGGGCAGCCGGGAGGAGCGGCCCCGCGCCCGGGACCTCGGGACTCCGGCCAACAAGGGCCGTGGGGGTCCCAACACCCAGGTCCCCAGGGCCAGCCCTGTCCCCGAGGAGACCAGGAGCCCCAGGCACCTCCGCCCGCCCCCCAGGAAGGACGCCAGGAGGAGGAAGGCCGGGGCCGGCACCTGGAGCAAGGAGCTGATCCACAAGATTGTGCAGCAGAAGAACAAGCTCCACCACCGGCGGCGGCAGGCGCGGGGGGCCCACGGCAGGCGCGGCTCCCTGGTGGCGGAGGGACCCCAGCCCGGCGGCGCCCAGGACAGAGGGCTCCGGGAGAGCGAGGACATCTCCGAGTCGGAGGACGAGCTTCCCCCGAGGCAGCAGCCGGGCTCTGGCTCCAGGGGCCGGCCCCGCCGCGGCAGCTGCCGACGCTGGCACCACCGAGGGGAGAAGAGGAAGGACGGGGACTCGGCCCCGGGGCCCAGAGCGGACGGGGAGCTGCAGGAACCCAGGCAGGCGGTGACGCAGGACACCGGGGGGCTCCCCAGCCCGGAGCGGCCACACAGCCCTCGCCCAGGCCCCCCGCCCGGCCTGGAGGCTACAGAGAGAGGCCCCGAGTGTGCCGACCACCCCACGGCGGCCCCCCAGCAGTCCCCACGGGTCCCCACCGAGACCCACCCCCCCAAGGAAAACCCCCCTTCGCTGGACGTCCCCCAGGTGGCCAAGAGGCCTGAAGTTGCCGAAGAGTCACCCCCTGACCCCACGAAACTCGGAGAGGTCCCGAGGTCTCCTCCAGCTGCCCGTGTGACAGGGAGCCCCGGGCCCCCCACTCCTGAGCGAGCCCCACCTGGCAGAGAGGACGCCGGTCGCCCCAGGCCACCGGGAGGCTTCCCTGATGCCGCGCCCCAACGAGGAAGCTCACCAGCACCGGGTACCGGCGGTCCGCTGGGTGCCCCGGGGTGCACAAGGCCCCCTGCGTCCCGTGACGGCGGGGACGCCCCTGCCCCCCAGCCAGGAGGGTTCCTGGGGCCCCTTGCTAACGCCACCAGTGCTGCCTACCCCGAAGCCACGGTCCCACTCTCAAAGAACTCTGATCTTGGCGGTGGCCCCGCACATGCTAACGGCGGACACCCCACCATGGGGGTTCCAGTTGCCAAAAGGGGGCCCCATCCCCACAGCGGCCCCCCCAGGGAACTGTTCCTTGCACCCAAAGACCTGGCCGGCTGCCTCCTGGAAGACCTGTACCCCAAGCCCCCCGCTGTGGACGCCCCGCCAGCCCGAAGCAGCCCCTGTCTGAGCCCAGGCGGGGCCGACACTTGTTCCCTGGCACCAAAGCCGCCGGAGCGTCCGCCTTACGCGGCTGAGACGGACCCAGGCAAAGCCGGGTCGCCGCTGACCTTGGAGTCCACGTCCCTCTTCGCGGGGCTGGCCGTGGACGGGTTCTGCCCGCCCCTCTACGACGGCCACGTGCCGCTTGCCCGCGCCGGCCCTGCCCCAGGGAAGCCCCGGCTCGACCCACCTTACCCCTCCTTCCTGCTGCTCGAAGACGTAGCCCCGATGCTGCCCGGCCACTTTCCCGGCCTCTCCTCGGCGGGGGCGGCGTTCGGGGACAAGTGTCCCGGGGAGGGGACGCCCAGCCCTCCCCCCGCGCCTGGGAGGAGAGACGGACACGGTGCCACTTTCGTGCGCAGTCTGTCAGAGGAGGAACTGGAGATCCGGAGGCTGGTCACCGAGCTGGAGAGTCAGCTGGGGAGAGGCGGAGGCTCGCCCGGGGCCCCGGGGCAGCGTGGAGAGGCCGAGCGGGCCGGCGGGGCGCACGCGAGCTCCGGCACGGAGCCATCCGGCCCCCAAGGGGACACGGCTGAGCTCGCGGGTGCCGGGGAACCGAGCCCACACCGGGGAGGCGCAGAAACAGCCGAGGACGCCACGGAAGGGGCTCCTGGGAGCCGCCCGGGGCAGGGGCCCCACCCAGCCTCGCGCCCTGCGGGAGAAGCGGCCGCCCCCTGGGCCGGCTCCCAGGAAGACCTGGCGTTGGGGGCCTCTCTCGGCCCCCCAGGGAACAGCGTCAGTTTTCAGCTGGCGCAGGAAGCCGGAGTCTCCCAGGCGGGAGGAGAAGGTGGGGTCCCCCCGGAGGTCCCCCTGCCGGCCCTGGGCGGGCAGCCGGGACCTCTGCTGGCTGCTGAGAGGCTGGCAAAGCGCGGCCCAAACTGCCATCTTCCGTTTCCTAAAAGTGAAGACAGCGCCCACCTGGCACCTGGCTTTGCGTTTCAGGGTGATGGGGTGCCACCTCTGGATGCCACCGGGCCCCCTGGAGTCCCTCCTAGTGAAGCCGCCCAGGGGCCCTCTGTGGGCAGGGCAGGTGGGGCCGGGGGGCTCCTGCACCCCCTGGCAGGGGGTCCCGGCTCTGAGGGTATTGAGTTTGCACCGGCGGGGGCCTCCTCGCTAACGGCCCCCCCAGGCAGAGAGGCCCAGGCTGTCCCTGTGCCGGGTCCGGCCTGTGCACCTGACGCTGGCCCTGGCGGGAGGCCCCAAGACCCAACCTCGAACCCCCAACTCCAGCTCCTGGGGGCCGAGGCAGGTGGGATCACAGATGACACCTGGGGCAGACAGGGGCCACCACCTGCGGTTGCCCAGAGCCCTCTGCGAGGGGACTCGTCGGCTCTGGAAGGGCACTGTGTGAGGGGCAGGGACGTGGCCTGCAGCCCTGCCCAGGGCTCCCCCGGGGGTGAGCAGGGGACAGCTGTCCCTGCAGTGGCCGGACGTCAGCTGGGGCCCAAGGCAGATGGACACCTGGGCTTGCTCAGCCTTTCTGAGGGGCCCGAGGGCCAAGGCCAAGCCAGCCAGCTTCGGCCAGATAACTGGGGGCTTGCTGGGGGGCCAGAGAGCCCGTCCCTGGGCACGGGTCCTGAAACACAGCTGGCCAGGCCCACTAGGGGTGCTGGGGCGGCACTGGAGGGACGCAGGGTGGCCTCGGGCCTCCAGGTGGAGGCACAGCCCTCCCCGAGCCCCCCCTTCCCTGCGGGAGAGCCCCCGACAGCAGCCCACGCCCAGAGTGGGGCTGAGGACCAGAGTCCGGGGAAGACCGCCAGCCCAGGCCTGCACAAACAGCTGCCACTCGCGGGGCCCGGCCCAGCGTCACCCCTCGGGGGCTTGGGCGCCTGTGCCCCCTCACCCACCACTCCAGCCACCCCAAGTCCCTGCAGCCCCAAACACCTGCCCCAGCAGGACCCCCCTATCTGGACTTCTGGTGCCACCAGGGTCACAGGACAGCAGAGGGGGCTGCTCCCGGTGTCCCCACCCGGCCCCGGGCTCCTGCCGGCCTGTCCCCCTGGGTGGGCACCTCTGGGAGGGGCCAGCTGTGTCCAAGCCCCCACGGGCGCTGGAGCTGGGAGGCCCCCAGGGGCTGCCCCATCCTGTGACCCTAAGGAGACTTTAGCTCACCACCCTCTCCTAGGGGACCCCCCTTCGCAGCCTGGCTGCATCAGCGTCTCGGGGGACAGCACTCGGAGACCTCCAGAGGCATCCAGGAGAGAGAGACCAGGGCAGTCTCCTGCCCGTGACACCCCGCCTCCCCCCGTGGGGGCCACTCCCCCCAGCGTGACCAGCCTTCCCGCCAAAGATGAGACATGGCCCGCCAGAGGGCTTCAGGCGCCAGACACCCCATGCAGCGGGGCCCCAGCCCCCACCAGCCCCGATGGGTCACCGGAAGACCCCTCCTCCCTCTCCCAAAGCAACACCGCCCAACTAGGCCGCAGGGAAGCGCAAGGTGTCCTGGCTGTGCCCGATGACCCCACCGTGCTGGGGGCCGCAGGGCCAGACCGCCACACCTGCCTGGAAGGTGAGGCGGGGGCCAGTAGCCAGGGACAGCCGGAGCTGGGGGCGCCTGAGGCCCGGCAGGCCAGCGTCACCGAGGTGCCTGCCACGGTCACCTGCCCTTCCGCAGGGCTGTGCCTGGGCAGTACCGCATTTCCAAGCAGCACAGCCGGAGACTCCAGGCCCCGCTACCCCCAAAGCCACAGAAATGTCCCCTACCAGGTGCCCCAAGAAGATCCCCTCAGTCCCCAAGACCCCGAACAGAGGCCGCACAGCTTTAAAAAGAAGCCGGTGTCCACTGAGAATGGCCTCTGGAAGGGCCAGGCCCCCGGGGGGCCGCCGGTGACCTGCGAGGTCTGCTCGGCCTCCTTCCGCTCCAGGCCGGGCCTGAGCCGGCACAAAGCCAGGAAGCACCAGCTGCACAAGGCCACCGCCCAGCCGCGCCCGGCTGCCCCGACCACGAGCCGGCCCCCCGGGAAGAAGAGCCACAGGGCACCCAGGAAGGACAGAGCACGTCACCCGCTCACAGGAGGCCCCTGCCGTGCGGCCGGGCCACCTCCCGCCCCGGGCTCCAAGGAGGTCAGGCCGGGGCTCGGTGCTCCCAGAACACCGGGCTCCCCGCCCGGCCAGCAGCCTCGCCCCCCAGGCCTGCAGGAGCGTGGGGCGCGTGTGCAGGCCCCGGCCCCCGAGCCCGGCAGACCAGCCCCACTGGGGGCGGGCGAGCGCCCTCCCAAACAGGCAGAGGAGAGAGAGGACCAGACGCCACCCACGGAGCCCCCCAGCCACTCAGCGGGGAAATCAAAGAAGAAAGGAGGGAAGCCGGGAGCGAGGAGGTTCCAGGAGAGAGCTCGGGGCCCTCCCGATGGGATTTCGGATAAACCCCGCAGGAGCCCAGCAGCTGCAGTTGCCAACCGCCCGGCCCCTCCGAGCTGCCGCCTCCCGCTGGAAGGAGACCTGGGGCCCCGGGGGATGGAGGGTACCCTGGAGACGGTCGCCGCGGAGACGGGCACGGGGGCCCTGCGTGCAGAGGGGACACCCAGAGACCAGGCCACGTGTCAACGGAGGATGGAGGAGGCACCTGCTGGGGAATGGCCGGTTGGGCCCGAGGGAGCCTTGGCGAGGGGGCCCTGGGGACCGCCGGAGGCCGGCACGGTGGCTTGTGGAGAGCCACCGCAGGCCGCCAGGAGCAAGTCTGCAGCGGACAGCGGAGGGGCCCAGAGCGGGCCCGAGGAGGGTGTCTGGGAGGGGCACGCGCCCCCCCTGAGCCCCCCGGGTCCTCCCGAGACCCCCGGCTCTAAGAGGGGCCTCCTGGACGAGCCGGCAGCCCGGGGTGCAGTCCCGGGACCTGAGGACCCCACTCCCGGGGCTCACAGTCCCGGCCTGGGGGACCCTCTGAGCTTGTTCGACGACGAGGTCTCCTTCTCCCAGCTCTTCCCTCTGTGCGGCCGCTTGACCCGCAAGAAGAGGAACCCGCGCGTGTACGGGAATCGAGGCGAGAAGCCGAGGCGCCCGCCGCCGCTGCCCCAGCCGGGCAGCAGCGAGGCTGGGGGCCGCTCCCCGCTGCTCTGCGCCCGCCTGCCCACCGACCTCAGCGACTCAGGCTCCCTCTGCCTCTCGCAGGAGGAGCCCTGGGAGGACGAGGCCGCCGGCCTGCCAGAGTCCTTCCTCCCCGACGGGTTCCTGATTAGCAAGGTGCCCGGGCTCAGCCTGTGGGCCTCCGAGCCCAGCGGGGAAGCCGGCACCGAGAAGGCGCCCGCCCACCGCCCCGAGGATGATCTCCCCGAGCTGCACATGGTCCCCGCTGCGTGGCGAGGCCGGGAGCTGTGGGTCCCCACGGATGACACACCCTCTTCTCTCGGGGACGTGAGCCCTGAGCCCCCCAACCTGGAGAGGGAGGGGTATGCCACCTCGCTCCCTGCCTCGGACTTTGAGGTGATCAGCCCCAAGCTTGAGGTGCAAGACCTGTGCTTCCTGGGGCCCTATGAAGACCCCTCGGATCTCCCCGGCACCAGCTTCCTCGACTTCGAGGCCACGGCGATGTCACAGGGGCCACGGAAGGAAAGGACGGAGGAGGTGGCGGCCAGGCCGGGGAGGGCTGGGGGCCCGGAGCCGCCGCCCGCCCAGGGCAGGAGGGCCTCGTACAAGTGCAGGGCGTGCTTCCAGCGCTTCCGCGGGCTGGCCGAGCTGGACCTGCACAAGCTGGCGCACAGCCCCTCGCCGCCGCCCACCTGCTACATGTGCGTGGAGCGCAGGTTCGGCTCGCGCCAGCTGCTGCGGGAGCACCTGCAGGACAAGCACCTGCAGGGCAAGGCGGGGCCCTGGGCCTGCGGCATGTGCCTCAAGGAGGTGGCCGACGTCTGGATGTACAACCAGCACCTGCGGGAGCACGCGGTGCAGTTCGCGCGCAGGGGGCAGGTGCGCAGGTGCCTGGGGGACCTGCCCGGGTGCCTGGAGGGTGGCGGCGGCGGTGGCGGCGGTGGCATCTCGGCCTTCCTGAGCAGCGTCCCGGAACCAGCATCCAAGCCCCACAGGGGCAAGCGCGCCGGGGGCAAGGCGCAGGCGCGGGGGCCGGGGAAGGAGAGCCCGAGGGAGCGCGCGAAGCCCCGGGCGCGAGGTGGCGCCGCGACACCGGACGGCGTCTCCGCCCCCGCGACCCCTGCCGCAGCCGGCAGCTCCGCCGCCCTCCCCGGCCCCAGCAAGACGCCCCCCAGCCCGTCCCCCGACCCGTGGTCCAGCGGCGAGCCCCTCCTGCAGGCCGTCCCGGTGCACGCGGACTGCAAGGACCCGTCCCGCGACTGCCACCACTGCGGGAAGCGGTTCCCCAAGCCCTTCAAGCTGCAGCGGCACCTGGCGGTGCACAGCCCGCAGCGCGTCTACCTGTGCGCGCGCTGCCCGCGCGTCTACGCCGAGCACCGCGAGCTGCTGGCGCACCTGGGCGCGGCGCACGGGGCGGAGGGGCCGCGCGAGCCGCAGCACACCCCGCTGTACGCCTGCGAGCTCTGCGCCAACGTCATGCACATCATCAAGAAGTCCTTCGCCTGCAGCTCTTGCAACTACACCTTCGCCAAGAAGGAGCAGTTCGACCGCCACATGGACAAGCACCTGCGGCGGGGCCAACAGCCCTTCACGTTCCGCGGGGTCCGGAGGCCGGGAGCCCCCGCGCAGAAGGCCCCGGCCCTCGAGGGCGCGCTGCCCAGCAAACGGCGCAGGGTGGCCGTGCCCAGCGGCCCCCCGGGCCCCGGCGTGGACGGGCCACTGTCTGGGGGCAGCAGCCCAGCCCTGCTCCAGGTCCGCCCGGAGGCGGCTCCCGGCTCCACCGAGGGAACGCCCGAGACCCTGGAGAGGCCCGAAGACCCGGGGGGCCCCACAGTGAGCTGGCGAGACCTGCCCCCTGACCTCCAGGAGGACCCACCCCCCGCTCTGTCTCCCTTCCCGGCGGCCTTGGCTGAGGGCAACGGTGGCCATGAGCCGGACGGAGCCCTGGAGATGAGGCCGGAGGATGAGGCTCCCCCAGGCAGCCCCGGGCCTCTCCTCGTCCAGTCCACTCTGCTGCCCGGGGAGCCCCTGCCCCGGCCAGGCGCCAGGGGCCAAGCCACAGAGGGAAAGGGGGCTCCTCTACCGCCCTCGGGGAGACGCAGGGTCCCCAGCCCCCGTGGCAAGTGTGGCCCCGAACACTCCCAGGAAGACCCCTCCCCGCCCCAGAAGGAGAAGCAAGCGTCCACCTGCCACGTGGTGCCTGAGGGGGGCACGGGGGTCCCCTCCCACAAGGGCATTGCCACCAGGCCGGGTGGCTGCCAGAGTTCATCAAAGGACAGGTCAGCGGCGCCCACCCCCAGCCCAGCGCCCAAGCTCCCCCTGCAGCCACGGAAGGCCTCGGGGAGCCTGGCGCCCGGAGAGCTGGTCCGCGGCACCGAGAACGGGACGAAGGCCACCACCCCCAAAGACAGGCCGGGGCCCAGCTCCCAGGGCAGTGGGGGCCCCCGCCCCAGCACCAAGACGGGGGGTGGCAGCCAGCCCCAGCCGGCCAGCGGGCAGCTCCAAAGTGAGACAGCCAGCACCCCGGCCAGGCCCGGCTTCCCTGGCCACAGCCCCGCACCCGACAAGACGCCCCCGCAAGCCCAAGCCAAGGGCTGCACCAAGGGGCCCGGGGGGGCTGGCGACCAGGGGCCCCGGCGGAGCCCAGGCCCCCGGGAGAAGGGCGGGGGCGGTGAGAAGAGGAGGAAGGGCCAGGTCCCGGGGCTGCCAAGCAGCGAAAATGTGGGGAGCTTGGGGAGAGCCCCGCCAGCCCCCGACAGACCTCCCCGGGCCCCTCGAAAGCAGGCGACCCCCAGCCGTGTGCCCCCCGCCAAGCCCAGACCCAGTAGCCAGAACAGCAAGCCCAGGCCGCAGCCCTCAGAGCCCAAGGAGGCTCCGGGCAGGGCCTTCGCCCAGGAGAGACCCCCGCTCAGGCCCCACCGGAGGGGCAGAGCTGTCCACGGTCCTGACCCCCCCGGCCGCGGCTACCGGACCGCCGAGGCCCAGAGTGACCTTCTCAGCCAGCTCTTCGGGCAGAGACTGACTGGCTTCAAGATTCCCTTAAAGAAAGACACTTCTGAGTAATTTATAGCAGCGAGCACCCGGGCTAGAGCCAGGGAGCCCGGCCGTGGGCTCCTGTCCGCGCTGCTCCCTCCAGCCAGCCTCAGTTCTCTGACACGGTTCCCTTTGTGGCCACCAGACTTAACCACGCAAACACTCAAGACTTTGGTGCTGGAGCTGAGACTGCGATGCTTTGAGCAGGGTCTGGGGCGGGCAGCTGAAAGGCTGAGGGTGAGGGACGGAGCAGCTGCAGCCCCTTTGAGACCACGCAGCTGTTTTCTTGGTACCAAGTACTTGAAGAGAGAGCAGCCTACCCCCAGCCCCCAGCCCCCGCCCCCGTGGGCCCTGTCGGCAGGGCGCCACATGCTGCAGAACCCAGGGAAGATTTGCACAGCCCCCCACCCCCACCCCAAACCACCTAGCAGGGAAGCCGGCTGGCGGCAGGCTCCCCTCTTAGTCTTGCTGCTGCTGCAGGTGCAATTCCAAGGTGACCTTCGAAACCACGTGGGGAAGGCGGGCTCTCACCCACAGGGCCGTCCCTGTGCTACCTGGCCCTGGAGCACAGCGGGCCCCCTCCCCTGACCACAGGGCCAGGCCGGCCACTGTCCGTGCTGCCGAGGGGCATGCCCGACTCCAGTGCACCTTGACCCCCGGGGAGATCAGCTTCCCAGGAACATGGAGAGAGCTGGTCACCCTCCAGCTCTGCCCCTGCCCCTGCCCTTCTAGAGCCTTCCTCCCACTCCCGCGCGGAACTCCCAGGCCCAGGTGTCAGCAATTCCACTCAAGTTTCTGGTGCTATTTCCATGTTGTAATGTGAATGAGGCTTCCTTGATTTTTTTTTTTTTTATGTTGTAATGTGAATGAGGCTTCCTTGATTTTTTTTTTTTTCTTCTTTTTCTTTTTTTGGTCCCTGGGGTTGGGCAGGGAGGCAGGAGCCGGAGGATGGCAGCCCAGGCACCACGTGAGCCGCCCAGGCCTCCCCGGCCTGGGGCCCAGCAGCCGGACGGGGACACTCAGGCCGGGGCCGTGGAGGGGCTGCCCCGGGCGGGAGGCGTCCCATGCACTGACGTGACCCGGCCCGGCGCCCACACACGTCCTTCCGCAGGGCCCTGTCTTCAAAGGCGGCGGGCGGGGCGGAGGGTCCTCCTCCTCTCATAGGCGTCTCTAACGTTCTCGGTCCATTTTGCTCTGTTTTCTAGTTTTTACCTTGGGTGCAATGTGTATGGTAAAAGTTTTTATTTTGATTATTTTTGAAAGAGACCAAATGGGGCCGACGTCACCATTCCAGAAGACGCCGTGGGCCGAGCGCGAAACCCCTCGTCGGCGAGCTGGGCGTGCAAAGGCCCTGCGGTCGTACTGTAAGCGTCACGGCCAACTCATCCTTTCAAATATATTCCCACTATTTTCACAGAAGACCTCCCGGTTTCGTGGCATCTGTCCCCCCAGCCCCCCGCCGCCGCCGCCTGAGCCCAGAACGTGGCACTTCGAGGGTCTCGGGACCCGGTGGGGGTCGGGGCTGCCAGGCCCAGGCAGGACCCACCCCACCCAGCCAGCAGGTCCCTGCCGGCCCCACGCCCAGGAGGAGCAGAAGGGAGACGGGGACCCGGTCGGCTGGGCCATGTCCCCTCTGCAGGTGTCACCTGGGGCCCCGGGGGTGAGGGGCATTGCCTGCACCCCCAGAGCACGGAACCGGGGCTCGCCAGCCTCCTGACCACGGTCCCCCACCCAGCGCCAGTGGATGGCCCGGCAGGCGTCCAAACGTCCCCCCGAAACCTGCTTTCTGGGGGCCCCCAAGCTTGCAGCGGCCTCTCCTGAGACCGCTGTGTCCGGAATGTTCTCTGGAAGTGCTGGCCGCTGCTGTCACTGCGCCCCTCCTGCTCCGCCAGCCGGGGCCTTCACCCCATCGGCACCCCAGGTGGGCACAGAGCCCCCGCCCCCTGCTCCATCACCCGGAAGCGCACACGGGGGAGGGAGGGCTGGACTCCAAGCTCTGCGGTCCAGGGTGGACGTCCTGTCACCCTCCTGTGTCACCGTCATGCCAGGGGAGCAGGGCCACACCCCGCCCCAGGGGGAGCTGGGGGGGATCTTACGAACGAGCGGCCACACGCTCCCTCCCCAGGCACCGATTTCCAACCGGGACAGGACAGGACATGGTGTTTAACAAGCCCCAGGCCCTGGTGCATCTCTCGTGTCCAGGCGGGAAACCGAGGCAGGGACGGGGTGGCTTGGAAGGGGAGCAGGGGCTTGGCTCTGGGCCCCTCCCCAGGGAGCTGGTGCCTGGAGACGCTGCTCAGGGACGGGCGTGGGGAGCCCTGCCCTGTCCCCACACCCCACTGTGTGGCCGCAGCCCCGGGCGCCAATGGCCCTGCCTGGCCACCAGGTGGCAGCATCCACCCGGCCAGGGCACCCTCGGGGCACCGCGCTGCCCCTCCCCCACCCGGCCTGCCAACCACCCGGGGACCTCACACACAAACGCAACAGACATGGGGGGCACCCCTGGCAGCACCGGCGGGCACACGCGTGTGCTGCACACACCCCCATGGCCTCACCCACAGGGACACGCACGCAAGTGTTCACACGTGGACACGTGTCTACACGCAAACATGCCTGCCCGCCCCCGGGACACACTCAGGCAACCACGGACCAGCACACACACGGACTCGGCGCCAGTGACTCCGGGTACATCTGGGTGTCGGGGGCCTGGCCCTCGAGGGGCCCCTGGGCAGGGGTCCCTGGGGGACCCACGTTTGAGCCGGGAGCTGCAGGGGAGGGGCGGACCTGAGTCTGGGCCCCGCGGGCAGCCAGGCTCTCGGGGACCCTGTCCCTGGGGGGAGGCCAGGGGCGCCCGGCCCCTCTCGGGGGTGGACGGGACCCCACGTGCGTGCAGAGAAGTCACACAGTGACTGTCGTCCAGCAGCACCTGCTCCTGCATCTCAAAGCCTGGCCAGACCCGCCCAGGAGACCGGACGGGAGAGCAGAGGTGCCTCAGGCCAGGGGGAGGCGACGGGGTGGGGGTGGGGGCCGCAGGTGGCAGCAGGAAGAGGGCAGCTGCCCAGCGAGCGGCAGGGTCCAGGCACACCTCCCTGCTCAGGACGATCCGCTGTCCTGTTACGGGCCCACAGCTGCCTTCGGGAAGCCGGTCCCCCCGCAGGTGTGGACGGCTGAGCTCACGCAGCGGGAAGCTGGGCCCCGGCAGGTGAGCTCTTGCAGCAGGAAGACACGGGAGCAGACGCCACCGCCAGGGAAGGGGCTGTGTCCTTGTGACTCGGGGTGGCCGATGTCGGGGTCCTGGAAGTGCCCCCAGGAGGTGAAGAAGGGACTTGGAGGCCCTCTGCCCTCGTCACCTGCGTCAGGTGTGAGCCCTGGAGATCCAGCCGCGGCCAGGCCCCTGTAGCCCCCGTGTCTCCCCCTTCCGGCAGGTGGGCAGCAAGCGGCCACTGCAGGTTCCAGGCGGGAAGCTGGGGCGTGGGGGACGGCCACAGCCTGCCCTGGGGGCCGCAGTCCACCAGGACAGCCGTGCTGAGGCCCACGGCCGTCTCCTCCCAGCCTGCACTGGGCCTGGGCGCCGGGGGCCAGGGCCCCTTCTGCGCAGTGCAGTGCCACTGACCGCACCCTGGCCTGCTGGGCTGCAGCTCCAGGCCGCTTGCTGCCTCCACCGCCCCTGGGGCCCCCAGCAGAGAGAAGGGAGGCAGGAGCGTCCCCCTCAGGCCCAGGGTCTGCTGGGGGTGGGCGGCCTGCGCCTCGGCCCGCCCTGCCCGGGAGACGCCCAGGCCGAGAGAAGAAGGCAGGCGTGTTCTGACAGCGAGATGAGGCACCAGGCGCAGCGGGGCTCTGGGCTGCTCTTGGCCCTCTGAGCCTCAGTTTCCCCACCCGTCACCAAAACCCTCCCAGCCCTGACCCTGGGCGGCTCCCTGGACCAGGCGGGCTCTCACACCCCCAGGCTGTTTCTCCACCTGTGAAATGGGTCCGAGACATCTCCCAGGATGCCGCGAGACAGCGTTTGGCTCAGAGAGAAAGCACACGCCAAGGGCTAATCTGAGAGGGTCCCCAGGGCAGAAGCCACACAGTCCCGCCCTGTCCCCAGGGCCCCACGTGACAGGGTCCCAACACCTTTCTGAACTGGTCTCCTACCCATGTCTCCGGCTTGTCCGGCTGCACGACACAACACAGCACCCCGACCGACACCCCGTGGCTTAGAACAACCACCCCGTCTTTCCCTCCCAAATCTACAGTCAGGGCAGGGTGGGGCAGGGACAGTGGCCTGGGGCTGCCCGGGCAGCTCTTTCTTCCTGCCCAGCCAGGCTGGGGGGGTGTGAGCTGGCGCCCACAGCCTGCCCCCCTCGGCTTGGACTGCTGCCCCCAGGTTTCCGGGGGTCCCCCTCCCTCCCTGCCTGCAGGTCTGTACTCAAGCATCACCCTCTCTGGGGGGTCTCCATAGGCCCCCTGCAAGGTCCCTCCCACTGAAAGAGGAGGGACGAGGGCAGGGAGGGGGCAGGGAGGCAAGCCCGTCCCCTGCACCACCCCAGTCTCCGAGATTGGGAGATGCCTGCGCCTGGTGTCACCGTGCCTGGCGGGGTCGGTGGGACACACCTGGGCAGTGAGTGAAAGAGTCACTCTCAGCCGACCGGGGGACGGTCCCCAGGTAGGAGCCAGTGTCCCTGGCTGTCAGAGGGGGGAGGACGGTGAGGCTGGGGGTGGGGGCGCTTGTCCAGCGGGTCCTGGCCGAGCCTCGGACGTCCGGGCGATCGATGGGTGGTGGGACGGGACAGGTCCCGTGCTGGGGACAGGGCCACAGCCGGCAGTGGCCAAGGGGCAGCCGTAGCACTGGCCACAGCATCAGGGGTGGCCCGGGCAGCATCTGGGAGCCCACAGAGCCACCCCCTCCACGAGGGCAGCCTCCCAGCTCCTCGCTTAATTTATGTTGGCGTCCTCGCTGCCCTTTGACCCCCTCATGCAGTCACGTGGTGCTTAAAACTCATTATCCCGCCATTGAAACAGGAAGTTAATTAAACCCTTCTCAGCAGCCAGCGCTGACAAATGTCAGGCTGGTCCCCGGGCACGGCTGCCTGGCGGCTCCAGGCCTGGGGTAACCAGAGGCAGCAGAGGGGAGGCCCGGCCAAGCAGAGGCCACCGGACAGGTCCTGGCCCCTTCCCCAGACGCAGCCCCCAGTGTCCACGCCAGCCCCCAGCGGTGCGTTTCCTGGGGGGTGCATCCAGCTCCGCCCCACCATCCCCAGGACTGAGGGACAGGACCAGAGGGGCCCAGGACTTGCCCGGGGTCAGTGTCCAGAGGCAGAGCCAGGGTCAAAGCCAGCCTCCAACCCCCAGCCAGGATTGGGGACCCGGGCTCTGGACTGTGACGTCCTGGGGTGATACCCTAGCCTGCCACGTCCAAGCTGCAGGCCCCCGAAGAGTAGCTGGGCCACTCGGAGCCTCAGTTTCTGCCTCTGTCATATGGGGGGATGGGAGCCCCCCCCCAGGGGGTGGTAAAGATCACAGGGACCTGGCGCAGCTCGGAGGTGTTGTGTCATGGTTCGTGCTGGTGTGGCGGCCGCCACCAGGCACGCTCCCACGTGCAGAACCAAGCACTGCAGCGGGGCCGGAACCGGGAGGGGAGGCTGGGCGGGGTGGGGAGCCCCTTAGGCCATGCTAGCGTGCCTCCTACCTTGCCCCCAAGCGTAGGGGAACGGACAAGGCAGAGGAGAGAGAACTGCCCCCAAAACAGAACCCAGAGGCAGGGCCCAGACACCAGACCCTGAGACTCCGGGGACGGGAGGAATCTTGAGCTAATACATGTCTGCTCACACACGCCTCTCCGCCTGCAACAGGCCCGGCCTTGACACCCCCACTGCTCGGACCCCAGAAACGTGTCCTTCAGGCCGAAATCATCTCAGGGGAGAGGGCATGTCTGGGCCACCACCACGACAGCACCTCTTACCTGTCCCCATTCTGCCACGTCCTGCCTGGGGGACCCTGGTGGCCACGGCTGTCAGAGGTCTGCACACGCGGTCTGGAGAGAGAACACAGCCAGCCCAAGGGAAGCGCCCAGGAAACGCGGGCGATGACAGTAACGACAGGGCCCTGTGGTGGCCACCTGGGACTGTCCACAGCGGGCTTCTCCAGGCCCGGCTCCCGGGCACCTCCGGGGGGGGGGAGGGGTTTAGGAGCTGCCGCAGGCCCAGGACCCAGCGGCTCAGACCCGGCCAGCAGGACACAGCCCACCGAGGTCCTGGAACCCAGGGAGGCAGCTGTGCCACAGGCAGGCTAAACCCAATTCCCTTTCTCCCCTGGTGGCTTTGGGTGAGAATCCTGGCACAGCTTGGGGACACACAGGGGCCTTGGCACAGCCTGTAGGACCGAGGTGGCCAGTGCTCCCCTCCCACCTGAGCAGGGCCTCCCGCAGGCCCCTCCTGGACCCCGGCTCCACTGAAGGCCTTCCCCGGCTCCCGGGCACGGGTGGCTGCTCCAGTTCTGGGCTCCTCCAGGCCTAGACAGCCTCTCCGGTTCCCCTTGCCTCAGTTTACCATCACGATCAGCAGACCCCCTGAGGTGTAGCGGCAGTGTGTGCAAGGTCCCCCAGCATCACCGAGGGGCGCCGGAAAGTCCCTGCCCTCCTGAGCCACAGCTCTCTCCTCTGTCATGACACCCCGCCCGGGGGGCAGGCAGGGAGACGGAATGTGCTCCCAAAGCAGCCCTGGCTCAGCTCGGCCATGGGGTTCAGGGGCCCGTGCCCAGGTGGGGGAGACCCCAGCTTGGCTTAACACTCTGTTATTGGTGCCCTGGAATTCTCCAATTCTGAGCAAGGCGCTCCACGTTTTCCTATCTTCACTCTGCAATGGGCCCCACAGATGGTGCAGTTAGTTTCGGGGTGATCGGGGTGTCCCACTTCCCCCCAGGCCTGGAGGAGCCCAGCCTAGCTCATAGCAACCTCCAACTCCTGGGCTCAAGCGATCCTCCTGCCTCAGCCTCCCGAGTAGCTGGGACTACAGGCATGCACCACCACGCCCGGCTAATTTTTTCTATATATTTTTAGTTGGCCAATTAATTTCTTTCTATTTTTAGTAGAGACGGCGTCTTGCTCTTGCTCAGGTTGGTTTCGAACTCCTGACCAGGGCCTAAGTTTCTTATGCATACCTGGGATCACAGAAACAAGCCAGGTCGGGCAAAAGAGTGGCCACAGTGACACCTGCCTTCCCTTGCAGCCTGGACGGATGTCAATAATGTAGTGTCCTGCTCCCTTTATCCTGCTGACCCGAAGAGCCCACCTCAGCACAGATGTCCAGCCGCTCCTGCCTGGCCGCCACTCACTGGGCACGGAGCCTCAGACCCGGCACAGGTGCCAGCCCAAGGCCACCTGCTCCCAGGTGCCCATCTGTAAAGTGGCCTCCCTTTGGGCAGGAGGGAAGGCCCAGGGAGAAACCCAGACCTCTCTGGCCCCGGGCAGGGAGCAACAGGAGGGGCAGCACCCTGGGCCCAACTACTGACTCTTGGGCCCAGAGCTCCTGTCTGTTCAACAGGTGGGGGACCCAGGGGCGGACCCCCGCCTCCGGTCCTGCCTGCCACTCTCCTGCACAGTGGCCTTCCCTGGGGGTGGGGGCAGGGGCAGGGAGAGAGCCCAGGCTCTGGGCACATGCTCCTGGCCCATGCAGCCGGGCACAGGGCACAGAATTCGGAATGAGATGAGGTCTCCCCAGAGCACCCGGCTCGCAGCAAGCCTTGGCATGTGACGTCAACGGTGATGATTGTATGACGTGATCGTTATCTGTCACCGGCTGGGTGGGGCACAGGCGTCTGCCCTGCCAAGTCCTTCCTGTCAACCCTGGGCCCTGCTAACTGCTTGTTTCTCAGGAATATGGGGCCGGGGCAGGCGTCAAACGCAGGTGGAGGATATTAAAAGAAATTGGTACGGCTCAGCTGGGCGAGACCGGGCGGGGGGGGGATCCCGGGCCCCAGGGGGCTGAGCCTGCACCGCAGCCTGGGCAACAAAGTGGGACCCGACCTCTAAAAGCGTAAGATAAAATTATAATGCTACCACCCAGCTGGGGGTGGCAGGACAGCTGTCCTCAATCCCTGTGACCTTGAGCGAGCAGTCCCTGATCCACAATTTTTTGCCTGGAAAATGAGAGGGGGACCTCATGAACATACCCCGCTTCCGGGGACTGGAGCAGCCAGTGCTGCCTGCAGGGAAGCCCCTGTGCAGAGCCCACCCCACACCCGGGGCCAGCCAGCGCCGGGCCTTCCGGACAGGCCCCACCAACCCCGCGCGCGCAGCGCAGGTGAAGCTGGGGGCCCGGCCCACGGGCCCGGGGCGGGGCCTAGTCCCTGGGGGCGGGGTTACAGAACGGAGGGGCGGGGCCTCGGGGGCCCTGAGAGGTCGGTCAGCTGTGGGGGCGGAGCCGGCTCCGAGGGGCGGGGCCCTGGAGGCCTGGACCCCGGCGGGATGCAGAGCCGCGCGGCAGCGGGACGGAGCAGGTCGCCGAGTCTCAGCCGGGCTGGGCACGCAGCCTCAGGCCGGAGCGGAGGGGAGAAGGCCGTAGGCCTGCCGGCGCGGGGCGTGGCCGGGGCGGGGCGAGAGGCCCTGGCGGCGGGCGGCCGGGGGCGGGGCCGGCGAGGGGAGGCCCAGCGGGCCGGGGCGGGGCGGCGCGGGGCGGGGCGAGAGGCTCGGCGGCCGGCGGGCACAGGCCCGCCCCGGCCCGCGCAGCCCGCCCGCGCCGCCGTCCGCCCCCGCAGCCCGCTCGCCGTGGCCGCCGGGTCGCCGCTCGCCGCGCGCAGGTCCCATTGAGAAAAGCCGAGCGGCGCGGCGCGCGCGGGAGCGCAGGAGCCGGCAAGCCCGCCCGCCGCCGCGGAGTCCGCGGCCCGCAGCGCAGGCCCGGGGCCTCCGCCTCCGCGTTGGCGCCAGCGGCTCCGCGCCGGGCGCAGCGGGCTGGGCGCGGGCCGGGCGGCGCGAGCCCGGGGGCCGGGGCATGAGCCGCCCGCGGCCCGCCCGCCCCCGCCGCCCGCCGCCGCCGCCAGGGCTAGAGGCGGCCGCCAGGAGCGCCGGCGCCGGAGACATGTCCAGGAGGAAACAGAGCAACCCCCGGCAGATCAAGCGTAAGTCAAACTTTGCGGCCCGCGGTCCCGCCGCCCCCTGCCCCGCTACCCAGCGCCGCCGCGCCCCGCGCCCCGGCCCGCCGCTCAGCGCCGCCCCGGCCCGCCGCCCAGCCAGCGCGGCGACCTTCACCCCGCGCCGCGCCCCCCGCGCGGTGCCGAGCCCCGTAATCTAATCTCCGCTGGCGGCCCCGCGTCTCGGCCGGGCTCGGGTCTGGCCCAGGCTCTGGCCGCCCGGGGGCCGGAGCAGGGTGGTCGGGGGCGCGGCCGGGCGGTGCGTGGCCACCTCGCGGCCTGCCCCTCCCCCGCATCTCCGAGATGGTGCGGCGATAGGCGGCCCGATCTGGGCTCAGATAAAGTTTAAAATATTCCATTCTGCAAGTCCCATCCTGATACGATCGCTCTGTCGGGACGGGCTGAAATTGTGATCTTATCTGGCGCTTGACTCTCCCAGGCTTTGTATCTAGAGGGGGAGAGACCCAAGAGAGAGAGGGGACACCTGGGACCGCGTGGAGACGCTGGGCCCGGTGGCGGGGACCAGCCCACGCCCACTGCCACCCGGCCGGCTGCAGAGCCTTGGCGGAGGTGGGGGGCTGGCGCGCAGCCGCTGCAGCCGCTGTGCTCGGCTCCAGCCACCCAGACCCTGGCGCTCTGGCGTTGTCTTGAACCCAAGCCCTGCCTGCCAGTGACATCTCCTGGACCCTCCAAGTGTCCTGGCCAGGGCGGCATGGGCAGCAAATGGGGCCCCCAGGTGCCCACGGGCACACCCTGGCATCCAAGGGGGCTGCTTGGAGTCAGGGAGGGGGCTCCGGGCTCCTGGCCCAGGCTGGGGTCTGCCCCTGCCCGCAACCAAGTTTCTCGACAGTGGGCACATGGGCAGGGAGGGTTAGGGACCGCTGCACGTCCCCAGTGCCATGCCCCCACGAGAGCGCCCCTGGCTCTTGGGGCCACTCAGGGGAGAGAGCGCACAGGAAGCACCCCTCCCCGCCGCGGCCATTAACTTCGCGCCTCCAAGGCCAGGGCCAGGCGCAAGGCGTCCTCCCAGGCCGCCGCCCCAGGCAGACCCGCAGGTCGTCGGTGCCCGCTGGGAGGTGACGAGTGGGGCGGCCGCTGCCCAGCCCCAGGCTCCTGGGCACACCTCTGTCCACATGACCACTGCCACCAGGACCCCATGTGGGCCGCCCGTGGGAGGTCCCCGGTGAGCGGGAGCGCAGGCACGAATCCGGTTCCCGTAACCCGACTCCCCCCAGTGCAAGCGGGACCTGCTTTCCGAAAGTCGCCTTCTATCATGTCAACTCAAGTATTAAAAACCACCCACAGGTCCCGATCTGCGCTGGCTCTCTGGTTTCTTTCCCCTCCTCCCCTGCGCGGTTGTGTGTGTGTGTGTGTGTGTGTGTGTGTGTGTGTGTGTGTGTCGGGTGATGAGAAATGCTGATAGCCGCGCGGGGAGATCGCAGGTTGGGAACCGATCGCCAGCGCTGATAAGGGCGCGAGAGCCGAGCGAGAGCCCAACCCGCTGGGAGAGCTGGTCCGCGAGCGCGCACTTGGGGACCGGGACCCGGGCCCTCTGGCCCGCCCTGAGCGCGCGCGCAGTACCCAGGCCGGGAAGGCCGGACCGGGAGGCGGGGCCGGGACCCTCCACGCAGCTCACGGCCCGGGGCACCTCCTCCCCTGGCAGATCTGAGCACGTTAAGACGGGAGGGCCGATTGTCACCAAGCGGCGGCGCCCGGCCGCCCTCTGCCAGCGGCGGTGCTGGTGGCCCTCGCGGCGCCGCCGGCTGCCCGGGCCTCACCTGGGGCCGGGCCGCGGGTGCAGGGGGAGGGGCGGAGCGCTTTGGGCCCCCCGCCCCCATCAAAGCCGGGGCGCAGCTGCCCGCGCCTCCGTGCGCCTTTTGTTCCGCGCCGAGATAGATGTGCCGCGCTGATAAGGCGCGGCCGATGGTGGCTGCGATAGGCTTTCCATTTATTAACTTCAAACGCGGGGGCGGGAGGGCGCGGCGGAGCGCGGCCTTGGCCGGCCAGATGGCCGCGCCGATAGGCCGGAGCGCAGGGCCAGGGGAGCGCGGGACCCCCGCGCCGCCCGCCGCCGCTTCCCTCCCGCCGGGTCGATGTGCGCTCCGATAAGCGCCTGGCGGGTCGGCCGATGGCGATCGCGGGGGCGATAAGGGGCCTTATCTGCGGCCACCAGGCCCGCCGGCCCGAGGCGACGGCGCGCGGGGGCGTGGCGGCAGCGGGGCCTTGGGGCGCGGGGGCGGGGAGCGGGCGGCGCGCGCTGCGCCGTCTGGAGTTTTCTCCCCAAACACACTTCGTTCCCAAGAAGTTGATCCTCGCCCGGTGGCTGGCGGGACAGTCCGTGAAAATGAAAGAAAACTGGCTTTGTGCTGGGGCGGGTGGGGGTCGGAGGACAGTGGCTGGGTCCTTGTCGGTGGCGCAGGACAGCGGGAGGTGGGTCTGTCACCTCTGGGGGGGAGAGGGTGTGTCCCCGTGAATCATGGCGGGCCGGCGGTTCCTGGCGAGTGTCAGGCAGTAACCTGCTTGGAGTTTTCTTGAAAAGGAAAATCAAGGTGCTTTCCACCGCGGCGGGGCTGTTTGGGGGATCCCACTGCGCTGACATCTCCTTGAGCAGGTCCCCCAAATCGGGAAGGAAAGTCTGCAGAGCTGCCTCGGCCGGGTTTATTGAGCACTTGCTGTATACCAGCACTGGGCCTCGCCGCAGCCCCCTGGCCAGTGTGAGTGGGGGTGAGTGGATCGAGGAGTGAGGCTGAGAGTGGGGACCAGCGGGGTGCATCCGGCCGGGGATGCTTCCTGGAAAGGGGGTGACCTCCAGCACTGGCAGGCTTCAGGTTCCAGCTCTGAAAAATGGGGTGATGGGATGACGGGTTGCCGGCTGTCCGGGGAGTGATGCTGAGGGGAGGATGAGGCCGGGAGGGTGTTAGAGGCTGGGTGGGAGCTCCGGGCTCCCTCCCTGAGAGCCTGGGACTGGAATAAGTCCCCCCAGGGCTGTTGGGAGCCCCCAGGGCTGTTGGGAGCATGGGGGTGGGGGTGGGGGGGTGCAGAGCCCTCGGGTCCCAGAAGCTGCATAAACCTAGGCTGGTGGGGGAGGGGCTTCTGGAAGGAGCCTGGGGCTCCCCGGGGCCCCTCCCACCCCAGCTGCTCCTTCTCAGAGGAGGGCGTTTTTCACACCTTCTCAGAGTTTGATTAAACAAATTATTGGTAGCCACAGGATGAGTAATTCACTCCCAGCTTCAAAGTCACACGCCTGCCCGCCCACCCCAGGGCTCAGGTGCCAGTTCCAGAGAGAGCCGGGTCAGGGCTAGGCGGGAGGGCCAGGGGCTGGTCTCTGCTGCGCAGGAGGGACCGTCTGCAGGGAGCCATCCACACTCCCTGCCCAGTGTTGGGGGGGGCTCCAGGGGTCAAGGCTCCGGGGACCTCCTGGCGATGTCCCCACCCCAGCGTGACAGCAGGCAGGGCAGGAGAGGGCTTGGGCAGCCCCGACACCCGGGCAAGTCACTTCCACAGCCCGCTCCCCCTCCCTCCGAACCACGGGTGTGGCCGTGTCTGCCACTCCAGGTCAGCAGGGGTGTGAGTGCTGTCCTTGGCCCAGGCGTCCCTGGCCCTGGTCACCCTGAATGGGCAGCGCCTACGGCGAGCTGTGCGGCGAGGGCGTGGCCAGCCTCAGGGTCCTGGGGTCGGGCGGAGCGGCGTTTAGCAGAGGGAATTACAGACCCGGAGGGACTCCCGAGGAGCCCGGCCCCCCGAACCTGACTCCGGCAGGGGTCTGGGGGCACCAGAGCCCACACTGTCACCCCCGAGGCTGGCGTGGGCTTCACCCTGGCTCCACGCCGTTGGTGGTTTCCGCACTCCTGGGCCTCAGGGATGGCAGGCCGCTCCCCGAGGCTCCGGTTGGCGACCGTATCACTAACAGATATCACTAACAGCTCATACTCGGGAATGCCAGGCCGCGTGTTAACCGCAGGGAGCCCTACTTTTATCTCCGTTTTGGACCCAGGGAAACTGAACCACAGAGAAGTTAAGTTTCTCCCCCTAGAAAAGTGCCAGATCCTGGGCCGGGCTCTTAACCGGCCTGTCCGTCAACATCGCGCTGCTTCTCGCCATCCTCTGCCTGCCCTGGGGCCTCAGTCTCCACATCCCTGAAATGGGCCTCTGGGAGCAAAGGCCCCCCCCCACCCAGGGGTCTTGCCCCAGCCCCGCCCTTGCCACGCTGGCAGGTGGCCTCCTTCCTGTGGAGTTCCTGCTCAGGGGCGGCACCCCGGGAGGCTTCGCCCAGCCCTGCCCGGGGCCTGGGACCGCGGCCGGCCCCTCCCCGGAGGTCACCAGGAACCCAGCGTGGCACCGAACACGCCAGGGATTTAAATGGGTCAGTTGGAGAAGAAAGGAGGAGGGAATGTGATGCCATTAATTGTGCCCTTATCTCCTGTTTCTATGCCAACCAGACGTTCCCGGGCTTGACGGGCTCGTGAATAATGCCCCCGCGGGTCTATCTGCCATCGGCAGGCCTCCTGGTGGAGGCAGCTGCTGCCTCCCCGATGGGTATCGCCAGCCCCGAGGACCCCGGCCCGCCCGGCACGCCCGGGCGCCTGGCCAGGCTCCTGCCCGCCGGGCCACCGTACCCGTGGATCTTCCTGGAGGCGCCCAGCACCTCCTGGCCCCATTTCACAGAGGGGGAAACTGAGGCCGCAGCCACACGTGCACTGACCTCCCGACCTCCTCTGCTGCTCCCTCCCGGGCAGGCGTGGCCTGCACTCCGCGTGCCTGACCTTGGCACGTCCCACCTGCTCGGGCCTCCGGGTCCTCAGCTGCATGGTTGGGAGGCTTAGCTACTGCCTTCGAGTCGCAGGCACAGTGGGTGGACCCAGGACGAGGACAGCCAGCGGCACCCGGGGCCGGGCGTCCGGGCTGAGGCTTGGTGGCTTCTCTCTGGCTTCGTTGGTGCCGCGAATGCTGCGTTCCGGGCTGGCCGCGGTGCCTCCGGCCGGCCGCTC